ATATTAAACCTTTTTCACGTTGTGTCAGGCTTTAAATCAAATGTCTTTTCACTGCTTCACTTCCAGCTTATGGCTTCTTCTTCTTACATAGAAATATTTTACCCTGCAGTCAAGTCAACATTGCAGAGGTCAAAGTGGCGTTGCAAAGGACGTGTATATCTTTGCAGAGTCACTGTCTGACGTTGACGTTGTTGTTAACATTGTGTGCTTGTCTCTGGTCACCTGGAAGAAAAACAACAACTTGGAAAGCCCCACGTCTCCTGAGCACAGGAGACCCTCCAAACGAGTCCGGATATCCGTCGTGGTAAGAGCCACTGATCGGGGCGACACAAATGCCCGGAATCTGCCCGGCAACAGGTTCATCAGCCAATCAACTTGATTGTCACCCCGCCATTCCATTCCAGGGTTAATCCCCAAAATGCCGATGGACCGTGATCTGGGCCGAGGCCCGTCTGTGTCATCGTGCCGAAAGCGTTGAAAACCCTCCTCCTTGTGGAACCCGTAGCTCCGCCCACTGACCTGTCACTGCCTCTAGTTGCTTCTGTGATTGGCTAAGGCTAGGATCCATTCAGCCTAACATGTTTTCATTGGTCAAAGGAGGCAACAGAGAACACTTGACAACTGAGATACCACTTATGCTCAAACCCAGAGCGTCCTACTCACGCTTTGTTAATTTGAGTAGAATTTTAAATACTCCTTATTTTTATTTTCCAAATAAGATCCTAAAAGTCCGCAGGAGACGGAAATGCAAAGAGCATTCAGACATTTACCAGTTCTCTTCAAACAAGCGACTGATGCACATTTAAAAAAGTCTGAAAATGTTGTCGCTGAAGAACGACTCTTTTTGGGGCATAACCGCCAGGCTATCGGTGCTCCCAAAGGACTTATTTTTTAAACGTGATCACAAGGTTAGCTTTTAAGTCTGTTTTAAATTTGGTGCACTCACTTTTTCTTAAATGTTTCATAAACAGTAAGTCCTAAATTAAATCAGTAACAGAGAAGAGCTTTATATTTGTGATAGAGTCCGAAATCGGGGATAGAGGGAGAGAGAGAGAGAAAGAGGGGAAAGACATGCAGGTAAGGAGCCAAATGCCGGATTCACAGCCTCTGTACACAAGGCGTGCACTCTAACCACTAGGGTACCTGCGCCCCCGCAAACCAACATTTGAAGCTTTTCTAAAAATCTGAGCATTCCCTTCACAAGTCAAATAGCGAAATAACTAAAATAACATTCAAAAAATCAGGAGGTGGTTGAGTTGTTGTCAAGTGTTCTACAAGGATGAAGCTTTTCAACCGAGCATGCTGTGCTGTCTATCATCAGCTGTGTCACCCGAGGTGTCCAATCAGTGACCGCCTCACAGGGCAGGCCTCTCACCTGCTCCTGTAGTGACCACAAACCCTATTTGCATTTGTCGTAATTAAGCAGAGAAGCTGTGTGGTACTTCATGGGTTGAATGTTCAGGGGGAGGGCTTGTTGAGGAAGAGGGAGGGGGGGGGGGGAGTGTGCATGCAGCTTTAAAAACCCAGACTCGAGCATCATATCTCTTCATTAGGAGGAGGCCGGGATTTGAATGACAGCGATCTAGCAGCACTTCAGATCAAATGATGATGCATGAGAAAGTCCAGGGGAGGGATTGGAAAAAAATTAACCACAAACTGGGATGAAGCCTGCGGTCCAATTACCAGCAACAGCATACGCTCCAGCAGCGATGCATGTCAATCAGTGACACAAGCGTCTGAGCATGAATTGAGAAAAATGATTCCACGGTTCGAGATGATCCAGGGTTGCATGAAAAATAATCAGACATCGATTTGTGTGAAATCAGAGGCGATGAAGCGTTGAGTGATCGTGCTCTCAGAGGAGATTCAGGAACAGATTAGATTTTTGTCCGTTATCGGCTTCTATGATTATTTCATGATCTCACTGTAAGTATGATGTCATTCCATTCACCAGGAGCCACCGCCCAGCTTAAAGAGTTTCTCAGGGGTGAGCATGCGTCCTCGTTTCTTCTGAACATTTCACTTCTTCTAATTCAAGCAAACATACTTGCTCAGGAAGGCCCCGTATCCACCTGGCGTTTTTTACATGCAGAAAAGCCGGGCTGTGCGCTGAGAAGAAAAGTGCTGCACGCCCGTGCTGTCTCTATGTCACTTTTTCTCCAGACGTCCGCCTGCTGCTGCAAACGCTCTCTACTTTTTGGGAACAAGTGGAAAAAGACGCTGGCGTTCAGAAAGAAACGCTAGGTGGACACGGGGCCTAACACACACACACACACACACACACACACACACACACACACACACACACACACACACACACACAGTCTTGATCAGATGTTTAAATGGTTTCAGTGTGGTTCAGTGGTAGAGTCGGTTGTCTCTCAACCGGAAGGTCAGGGGTTCCCAGCTCCTGCAGCCACATGTCCAATGTGTCCTAGGACGAGACACTTAGCCCCAAGTGGCTCCTTCTGCTTCATCAGCGGTGTATGAATGTGTATGAATGGATTAGTTACTTCTGATGGACCCAGCAGCCTCTACCATCAGGGTGTGAATGTGGAGGTGGACCTGCAGTGTGAAAGTGCTTTGAGTCGTCAGACGGCTAGAAAAGAGCGATACTAGCCCTTTGATATTTTTTTTGCATTTAATTAGAATACAAATAACCAGTACACACAGTGCATCACCTGCTCTTATCCGGTTCCAGTTCATGACCGTGGATTACAGGGTGAACGAAAAACCGACTGCAGAGTGCAAAGAGTCCCCGCCCTCTGACTTTCAGGAGCCCGGTCTGCGTGATGACCACAGACCTTAATCAGAAGTCCCCAACATCCCAAACACATTAAAGATTACAACAGGAACACGCCATTCGTCATCCTCAGTCGTTAGCGTGTCGGTGAAACTCTATTAGCTCTGTTCATGATTTATATGAGAGGCTCTCACAGAGCGTCATTAGCTTCACATGTCGCCGACAATTATCCAAGCCTCGGCACATTTTCCATCATTCACGAGCAGTGAGTGATGCCGGAGCGTTCTCCATCCGTCCCTCCAGGGCGTGTATGTGTGCGTGCAGGAGTAACAGCTGATTGATGACTCTGTGTGTAAGTCAGTAGAAACATTTTGTTCTTTGATCTGCACAGGTCCAGCAGATCTCTAAGGATTTATAACATACGTTCATTTCTCAGCGCTCTGGTCCTACAATACAACCCACGCCACACAACTACACGTCAGACGTGAGACTTTCCGAGAGGAACTCGGTAAACTTGTAAAATCAGAAACAGAGGAAACGCGCTGGGACTGTTTTTTCTCCCCTGGCGTAAAAGGAGAAGCCTGAGGGGCATGTTTCTCTTCACAGCGTGGTGCTCAGGGCGAGCTGTGAAGCAGCGATACACCTCAGTGTATCGCCGTATTTAACCAGAGGAACTTTAGTTTGAGGAGACTGACGAAACACATCTCTTCATCTGCAGTCATGAAAAAGAGTCATGAAAAAACTAAATTAGTTTCACACTGAGCAGCAGGAGCGCTGCTCGTTACATGTTCTCTCTGTGGTGTCTGTGAGAGAACGCGGCACATTCCCCCTCCGTCAGTTAAAGAACTGATGGCGTGATGGGGGGGGTCGAGGGGGGTGTCTGCTTTCAAACTTCTGTAAAGTCGACTGAATTTCACTCAGATGAAAACTCTTGCACCACAGTGAGCTAACACGACATGTTTTATTAATCTTTACAGCAGCTGATAGGTGCGGCTCAGCGGGGGAGGCAGAGACTCTCCAGAGTCCCCCCCCCAGCTTCCTCCTAACAAACAGACGCCCTGTTCAGACCGCCGTTTCAAGCCGTGATATTTACGCCCCTGTGATGTTTCACAAAGTAAAGTCCCACATGAATAACCCTGAAGATTCCTTAAGGGTCTGTTTTCAACAACCTTCTCCTTCCTCACAAAGATTCAAACTAGACTGCAGTGGACATTATAGAGATGGATTATTAAAGGAAGGAAAGGAGAGAAATGAAAGGAAAGGGGAGGGAAAGGAAGGAAAGGTAAGGGAGGGGAAGTAAGGAAAGGTATGGTTAGGGAGGGAAATGAAGGAAAGGTGGCAGGACAAAGAAAGGAAGTAAAGGAAAGGTAAGGGAGAGGAAGGAAGGAAAGGAAAGATAAGGGAGGGCGAGGAAGGAAAAGAAAGGAAAGGAAATGAAAGGAGAAGGAAGTAAAACCTCTTGCCCTCAGTAACTCGTTCAGGTGAAAGTAAAGTTCTTTATAATGAGATGCCGTCTCGTTCGTGGCCTTCACGAGGATCAGTTCGTCTTCCATACGCCCTAATTTAAACTTCTCGGGACGGCTGCTCTTCTTATTCCTAATCTATGTTAATGTAACCTTTTAGTCGTCTGCTCAGATTCTGATTTTAGAGATTGTCAGTGAATCTGGAGAGATTTATCAAGATTCTCGACTCCGAACAGAATCCAAATCATTTCTACAGGACCGTCACGGTTTCCTTGGACTCCTCCTTCTTGTATCTAACGGGGCGCAGTCACACTCGGCCCGGTTGCTCCGTACTATTCTGAAGCAAAAAAGCTGTGACCTCCGAGGATCCGAACAGTAAAAGTTTACACAAACTTGTTCTTAACAAAAGACCTTCAAATAAACTTTCCAGGAAGTGTTAAAATGGCATGTGTACATTTCTCTTCTGAAATCATTCTGTTCTTAAAACGATCAGGATCCAGTTGGACTCCTGCAGGTTAGATAATCATCAGAAGAAGCGTTTTGTTCCAAACGCCATTATAATCATGAGTTGAAATAATTGGTTATTACATGTAAAAGCTTCCAACAGCGATTTTCTGCCACTTCTGGTTGTTCCAGCGAGGAAGATTCCAGTGATTTGTGAAGTGCCTCTATGAGGAGCTTGTTGTACGGACCGCACTCGGACAGACGGCGCATTGTTAGCGCAGTGAATTTATCCAAGTGTTAAGTGCGTGCTAGCCATTTATGCCTCGCAGTGAGCTTCTTAGTAATGAACCCCCTGCAGCATGGTGTGTGCATTAACGGTACAGTGAGCCTGTGGGCTTGCCGCCCCCCCCCCCAGCAGGTGGTTCACCGTGATACTGTTTGTGACGTTGCTCTGCTCGTTAGGAAAGAGAACACGTTTATGTTTCTCCTCTCTGCAGAGTTTGAAGCCCTCTGCGGTGGAGAAGTAACCCCCCCCCCCTCTTTGTGTCTTGATGTGGTGAAGTCTGCAGCTCCTCGCTCCATGTCTGAGTCCAGTTTTGCTTCTCGTCCAGGGCTTGCTCTCTCTTCCATTTTGCATCCCTGACATCAGTACCCCCCCCCCCCTTTAACTCCCCCTTCGTCTCTGTCCATCTAGGCTGTGAAATATTGATGCAGGGTAAATGACATCAGTAGTCTGTTTCAGAGAAATGATGCCGCCCGGCCTCCCAGTCACTCCTGGCTGTTTTTCTCATTATTTTCCCACCGCCACTCTCCTGCATCTTCGTAATGCCCCCGTGCTTTATTTATGATGGCTCGTGGGCTCCCTATTTTTGCACCTCGCCTCTCCCTCCTCCTTTGATTTCCTCGACTTTCTTTGTTTTTTTGGACCGTGGAGGAGAATGCGTCATACGTCTTCTTCTTATATTTAAATGTCACCGCGCATACACACACTCTGCAAGAGAGGAGACCGTTCACTGATAAAAAGTTGGAAGAAGAATATCTGTGCTTATCGCTTGAACAATGTTTGGCTGTCCACACAGCATCAGTTTCTCCCACCATGCAGAGTGAAACCCAATCCTCAGGAAGGAGGACTGTTGCTCATTGGACAGAAATAGAGTAAAAATAAGAACAAGTGAACAGACAGAAGAGCAGATTAAAGCGTCTGCCCTTGTGAAGAATGTAAAGAGGAGTGTTTAGGAATTAATAAAAAAAACTTTAGAGGAATTTATTATCAAGATTTCCAACCTTGCTGTAATCAAAAGCCGTTTCCTCATCTGCACCCTTGAAAATATCTAGATAACTTCAGGAGGACTGCTCCAGATACTCTCCTGATCGGGCATGCGCCTCACAGCGGGAGACTATTCCTGTCAGACGGGGGGGGGGCTCCTGAGGTAAGACGTGATGTAAAAAGAACAACGTGGAACAGGCAGATGCTGCAACAGAGTCCTCTATGCGACGCTATAATGAGAATATTTGTCTTTATATCAATGCTGCGTTTAGTTGAACAGAATCTCAATCTGAAGTAAAGAGTGGAGAAGAACATACTGAAGAACAGGAAACATAATGCAGCAGGTTCATTAGAGCAGCAGTCCCCAACCTTTTTTGCGCCACGGACCGGTTTAATGTTAGACAATATTTTCACAGACCGGCATTTAAGGTGTGGCGGATAAATACACAAAATAAAATGATACGACCGGCATAAAAACTGTGGTATTTTCTAAATATAATAATAAACGTGAATCCACTGTGTACTCTTATGCAACTTTATTAGCAGCGCCCTCGTAACATTGCGCCAACAACATAACATGAGTAACATCCTCTCTGCCCCCTAACACTCTCTGGTCGCTATGGTAACGTTTAAACATGCCTTCAAAAAACACAAAAACTCACGATGAAAAATACAACTCACCGAGGTGAGTCACTTATGTCCAGTCTACTCCGTAATTTTGTTTTGGTTGCTGTCACTGCAGAAAATCCCGCTTCACACAAATAGGATGTCGGAAATGGCAACAGGGTTTTCAGTGCTGTTGTGGCGATCTCAGGGTATTCTGCTTTGACTTTAATCCAGAACACCGGCAGAGTTGTTGTTTCGAACATACTTTTAAGGCCGCCGTCATTTGCGATCTCCAGCAGTTGATCTTCTTCTTGCATAGACAAGCTGGATTCCCCTGGTTTGTTGACAAATGGGTGGCGGATCCATTCCTTGGCAGTTCGTGGGTCTTTTGTGGTTGGGAAGTAGCGCTCAAACTCGTTTAAAAGCAAAGACAGGTGATCGTGCACCAGCTGGGTGAATGAAGG